TGCAAGTAGGTCTCAATAACATGACACCACTAATTAGGAAGATCACAGGTATTATGATTCATATATGGAAATCAATAATCATAGAGGAGAGTACAAAAAAAGTGACTTGAATTCAGGTATATCAGCAGTGGCTAAAAACTTAAGCTCTCTCCAGTGATGCCTGGGACAGTTCTTCAGGAAAAAAGAGAGAAAAGCTCTAAATTCTCTCAAATAACGGAATATGAAAGTGTGGCAGTGGAAATGACTGTCAACAGAGCCCTGGAATAGTAGTATGAAAGACAGTGGAGTTATCCAGTCAGCAACTCACATATTTTTCTTAAGCATACTAACCCTAATAGGCAGAATGGGGTTTGGGATCAGATGATTATGTAGGTTCAAAACCTGGACCTAAACACTTTGTGGCTGTATGTCAATTTATTTAATCTCAGTTTCTCATCTGTAAACGTGGATAACGATAGTTATCACTACGCAGGGCCATGATATACATGCAAGGAGTTTATCATGTAAAGGGCTTAATTTAGAGCACTGCCAGAATACAGTAAGCACTCAATATGTGTGCCTGTTGCCTTTCAGGACACCCTTTCTCGGTTCTCCTTCTACTTCTCTGGTCACTCCTTAGTCTCCTAAACTGCACACATGCAGGGCAGAACTCCAGGAGTCCTAGCAGAGAACAGCTGCTGTGAGGCTGAGAGGTAGGCAGAGACTTCAGAGGTCACCCAGTGTTGCAGTTTGGGCTTACCCAGAGGGGAGATTCCTTGGTGAACACCAGTGGCATTAAGACCTCAGAAAATACATGCTTAGGAATAAAAACAATACTCAAGGAGTAAGAGCCAGGAATAAGTGTGAAACTGAAATAGACCACCCCAAGCCTAAACCCAAGTTTTGACAGGATCAAGGTGATCTGCAGTAATTTATTTTTCAGAGGAAGTCTCTATAATGTATCATCCACAATTTCTAGCATACAATAAAAGTTATTAGATATGCAAAGCCGGGGGTAGTGACCAACAATCAAGAGATAAAATAATTAGTAAAAGCAAACAGAAGTGAACAAGAACTTCAAAACAACTGTAATTAATACATTAAAAACATAGAGAAAAAATGTACAAGATAGGTAGCACAGAATATTTCAACAGAGATAAATCTATTTAAAAAAAGAATCAAATGAACATTTCAGAACTGCAAAATTCAGTATCTGAAATTAAGAATGTATTAGATGTGTTTAAAAGCATACTAGGGCTTCCCTGGTGGCGCAGTGGTAGAGAGTCCGCCTGCCGATGCAGGGGACATGGGTTCGTGCTCCGGTCCAGGAAGATCCCACATGCCGTGTGGCACTGGGCCCGTGAGCCATGGCTGCTGGGCCTGCGCGTCCGGAGCCTGTGCTCCGCAACGGGAGAGGCCACAACAGTGAGAGGCCCACGTACCACAAAAAAAAAAAAAAAAATGCATACTAGTAGGAATTGCCTGGCTGGTGGTCCAGTGGTTGAGACTCCGTGCTTCCACAGCAGGGGGCATGGGTTTGATCACTGGTTGGGGAACTGGGATCCTGTGAGCCTCATGGCCAAAATAAACAAATAAATATAAATACATAAATAAATACATGCCCTTTTCACAGGGAATTATACTCAATATCCTGTAGTAAACTATAATGGAAAAGAATATGAAAAAGAATATATATATATATATATATATAACTGAGTCACTTTGCTGTACAGCATAAATTAACAGTGTAAATCAACTACACTTCAATAAAATTTAAAAAATAAAAGTATACTGAACACATTACTCCTGTTTATATAGAAGACAGAATTATGAATGCAAAGAAAGGCCAATAGAAAACATACAAACAAACAAACACAAAAAGGAAAAAACAAATACAAAAAAGAAAGCAGAGCATGAGAAAGACGTGGGACACACTCCTATGTATACAGAATGGGAGTGCTAGAAGGAGAGGAAAGAATAGGAAAAAGCATATTTGAAGAAATAATGGCTAACGACTTTCCAAGTCTGTTCAAGGACATTGACCAACAGATATGAGAAACTCAGAAAACCTTAAGTAGCATAAATAAGAAATTCATACCTTAGAAATCAGTCAAATGGCTGAAAACCAAAGATAAACAAAAAACATCTTAAAAGCAGGTTTCACATCATCTGTCTGACCTTCCATTACCTTCCTGATCTTATCTCTTTCAACTCTCCAACTTAATCACTCCTTTCCTTGCTGTCCCTTGAACACACCTGGCACAATCTTGCTTTAGAGGCCTTGTAGTGGCTGTTTCCTCTGCCTGGAACATTCTTCCCCAACATGTCTCTCTAGGCACCTTATTTAAAAGGACCACTTCCCATCCCCTTGTGCACCCTCATTCCCACCCCATCCATACACTTAGACTCCCAATCCCCCTACCATGCCTTATTTTTTTTCCCACAGAACGTTTCACCTTCTAACATTCTGCATTCCATATACAAACACATATATATGTTCTTCTGAAGAACATAGGCAAACAACCAAATTGACATCTTCATTACTAATAATTACTAATTACTTCATTTCCAGTTAATAATTACTAACTCATTACTAATATATATATACACACAAAATCACAGTAGCAATAATAATATCAGTTATTTAGTGCATTCATAGTTGGCACAGAAATATTAATTAATTTGTACCAAGTCACACAGCTAGTAATTGGCAGAGCCAGGACTTAGATCCATGCTGAGTTCCAATAAAAATAATTTTTAGATTAGAAAGGATAAGACCTAAAGATATGTAAATGAGCTAAATGTAACAATTCAATTTCAGTCAGTTGAAAAAACAAAACAAAATCTCTCTTAGCACTAAAGAATGAAATGCAGATATTAGTACATGTCACTAGGTGATGCTCTTCATTAAATTTCTCTCCTAGTAAGGTAATCTGAGGAATTATAACTCACTCAGATGGGGAAGAATTTATGCTAGGTCTAATAATAATTAAGCTGGCTCATTAACCACAAAAGTTACATAGTTCAGAAAACAAATTTACAAACAAAAAGGTAAGCCACACGAATTTATGGTAGAAAAACTTTCTGTAGACTGTAAACTTAGAGGTTTCTATATCATAAACATGATATCTCTCTCCATTTATTTATTTATTTATTTTACTTTATTTTTTGAAGTACGTGGGCCTCTCACTGTTGTGACCTCTCCCATTGCAGAGCACAGGCTCCGGACGCGCAGGCTCAGCGGCCATGGCTCACAGGCCTAGCCGCTCCACAGCATGTGGGATCTTCCCAGACCGGGGCATGAACCCGTGTCCCCTGCATTGGCAGGCAGACTCTCAACCACTGCGCCACCAGGGAAGCCCTGTATCTCTACTTTTTTATGCTTAAAATATTTTAAAGTAAATTGACTATACACCCTTTAATATTTCAATATGTATCTCTCAAATAACATTATTACACCTAAGCAAAATGATTCCTTAATATCATCTATTACCCAAAAACCAATGGTCAATAAACATTAAAGGGGGCTCAAGCTCATTAGTTATTAGAGAAATACAAATTAATAAGACAAAGACATATGTTGCACACATATCTGACATTTAAAACTATGATACCAAGTGTTGGAAAGGATGCAGAGCACAGGAACTCTAATACATTGCTAAGGGGAAGGGAGATAGCAATCCTTCCGGAAAGACAGCATTACATAGTACATAGTAATAGTGAAGATGCATATATACCTGATGCCCTCTACCACTGCTAGACACACCTAACAGAAACTGTAGCAAGAAACAAGACAAGTACACCAGGAAACATTTCAATCTTCTTCTATTACATACCTAACAGAAAATGTACCGAGAAATAAGACACTTATACCAAGAAACACTTAGTATTGTTTGTTATAGGAAAATTCTGAAATAACTCAAGTGTCCCTCAATGTTAGAGAGGAAAAATAAATTGTGGTATGTAAATACAATAGAACAAAACAGAATAAAATGCAGAATAAAAAATGTAGAATAAAAAATGTAATATTAACAAATTAGAGGTCTTGCAACAACACGGATCAATTTCACAAGTTTCATAATAATGAAATAAGAAGAGATACAAATTAACATGCATAGTGTAAGTCTGTTCATATAAAGTTCGAAACCATTGCCTGCCACCTACTTTCAAATGGTTCAGCAAATAAAAAATATATCCACATATCTATTCAAATATAAAGAAAATGTGGCAAAATGTTAACAATTGTGAATTTAAGTGAAGAGCATACAAAGGTTCATTGTACTACACTGCTACTTTTCTTTAGGTTTGAGATTTTTCAAAACAAAAAGATAGAAAAAATGTTCAAAAATCAGACAAAGCTAACTTATATTGTTTAGGAGTATTTTATTCACGTGGGTGATAAATGTATGATTTTTCTTTATAATTATGTGTTAAGCTATACATATAGATTTTATGCATTTTTTTCTGTATGTAAATTTCATAAGAGAAAAACGTTAAAAAATAATGTGATAAGATACATAAAAACACTTTCAAAGAAAAACTGCTATATACTTGTTAAACATTATTATTAAAAAACAAACTTTTTGCTTTACAACAAGTAAGCGTAAGCAAGAGGGCTTTTGTTATGTGGGACATTAACCTGAGATCAATCTATCAAAAGGTACCTCCTGAGGACCAATTTCTGAGGCTAGCAACATAATAATGTCAACTGATTTTTCCATGAGACAGTTTCGATATAAGCATCAATTCTGAATATTGCTTAATTTGATACTAGATAGTATATTCTTCTAAATAATTCCCATGAACTGCAATACAATACTCCAATACTCATTTTGGCAGATGATACTAGCATATGCTACTTAAAAATGTATTATAAGAAAACTCTGGATGAAAGCTTTATCACTATTCAAATATCATACACAATTCACATTGTCCATGTATTTTCTATAGGTTTTTCCAATGTCCTTACTAGTATTCCACAGTATTTTTTTTTAAAGCCCTCAAAATCAAAGTTGTTCAGATTTTCATGCTTTCAAACTGTCTTTTAATATAGTTATATCAATCCATCTGATTGCCTTCTTCTGTGTCATCTAAATCAATATCAAAATCTAAATCATCATCACTTTCTTCATTTCTTCTGCAGCTTCTTCTGTGGCTGGAACGTTGATTATTTTCAACATTTTCTGTCTTTTCTGGTTCTATATTAAAGCTAAAGATGGAAGAAAAGAACTTTATTTTTCAGGATTTCATTGTTTAACTGTGTAGATTGAAAAGACTTTTACACTACATTTCTTGATTAATAGGAGCCTAATGAAATAAATAAAGAGGAAAAGATCCTTGAAGATTAACTTAACTCAGGAGCCAACCAATTATAATACAGTTGTCAATAAAGTATGATCAAAGAAATTAACACATGATGTCCATTAAAGAAAAGTTATATAATGAGTAATTCTTTTGTAATGTGTAATAAATGTGAACCTCATAAATATTTTAACTTTCTAAAAATGATGTTTCACTTTTATTATAATGATAGAAGTATTTAACAATTAATTAAGATGTTCCTCCTGCTGGGTAGAACAGCGTCTACATTAGTGTGATATTCTGCATCTTAAGACTCTCAGAGCAACTGAATATTTCCATAAAAGAAAATTCACATATTAATTAAAAGAGTAAATCCCAAACATAAAAAGAAATACTCACGGAATAACAACATCTTCTCTCTTTCCACATTTGGCACAAACTTCAAGATCACAGGCACATGGTCTACACATTATGTGATAAGAATCCTTCACTGTCTTTTGTAAACATTTAACACTAAAAGTAGAAAAGAAAATCTTAATTTTTTACTCATTATCTAAGGTTTATTTAATGAAATAAGGGGGGGTGTGGCTAAGTGTATAGCTGATAAGCCTCAATCTCACATATTATTCTCATATGTTACTTTAGATTAATTACATAGCATTTCTAGAGAACAGTGTACAGCTCAGAATAATAGTAGATTCTTAAAGCTTCTAAAAAATGTCATCTGCAAATATTAACAGTTTTACTTCTTCCTTTTCAATTTGGATTCCTTTTATTTCTTTTCCTTATCTGATTTCTCTGGCTAGAACTTCCAACACTATGTTGAATAAAAGTGGCAACAGTGGGCATCCTTGTATTGATCCTGATCTTAGAGGGTAAGCTTTCAGTTTTCACCACTGAGTATAATGTTAGCTGTGGATTTATCATATATGGCCTTTATTATGTTGAGAAACTTTCCCTCTATACCCACTTTGTTGAGAGTTTTTATCATATCATTGTGTGAAATGCTTTTTCTGCATCTATTGAGATGGTCATATGATTTTTAACATTCATTTTATTAATGTGCTGTATCATATTGATTGATTTGAGGAAATCGAACCATTCTTGCATGCCTGGAATAAACCCCACTTGATCATGGTGAATGGTCCTTTTGATGTATTGTTGAATTCAGTTTACTAAGATTTTGTTGAGGATTTTTGCATGTATGTTCATCAGGGATAATGGCCTGTAATTTTCTTTTCTTGTGGTATCCCCGTCTGGTTTGGTAGCAGAGTAAAGCTGGCCTCATAAAATGAATTTGGAAGTATTCCCTCCTCTTGAAGAGTCTGAGAAGGATTGGTATTAGTTCTTCTTTGAATGTTTGGTAGAATTTACCAGCGAAGCTGTCTGGTCCTGGACTTTTGTTTGTTGGGAGATTTTTGATTGCTAATTCAATCTCCTTACTAGTAACTGAACTTTCAGATTTTTACTTCTTCATGATTCAGTCTTTGTAGGGTGTATGTTTCTACGAATTTACCCATTTCTTATAGGTTGTCAAAGGTGTTGGCATACAATAGTCCATCGTAGTCTCTTAAAATCCTTTGTATTTCTGTGGTATCTGTTGCAATGTCTTCTTTTTAATTTCTGATTTATTTGAGTTCTCTCTTTTTATTCTTGGTGATTGTAGCTAAAGGTCTGACAATTTTGTTTATCTTTACAAATAACCAGTTCTGAGATTCATTGATCTTGCCTGTTGTCTTTTCAGTTCCTGTTTCAATTATTTCCAATCTGATCTTTGTTATTTCCTTCCTTCTACTAACTTTGGACTTCATCTATTTTTCTAGTTCCGTTAGGAACAAAGTTAGGTTGTTTAACATATATAAGGAATTTAAGGAAAAAAAAATGTCATGAAGAATCTAGGGGTAAGACAGGAATAAAGACACAGACCTACTAGAGAATGGACTTGAGGATATGGGGAGGGGGAGGGGGAAGGGTAAACTGTGACAAAGCGAGAGAGAGGCATGGACATATATACACTACCAAATGTAAAGTAGATAGCTAGTGGGAAGCAGCCGCATAGCACAGGGAGATCAGCTCGGTGCTTTGTGACCGCCTGGAGGGGTGGGATAGGGAGGGTGGGAGGCAGGGAGACACAAGAGGGAAGATATATGGGAACATAATATATGTATAACTGATTCACTTTGTTACAAAGCAGAAACTAACACACCATTGTAAAGCAATTATACTCCAATAAAGATGTAAAAAAAAAAAAAAAGGTTGTTTAAGATTTTTTTGTTTCTTGACATAAGCATTTACTGCTAGGAACTTCCCTCTCAGAACTGTTTTGTGTGTTAACATAAAATATATCCTGGAGAATGCTCCGTGGACACTTGAGAAGAGTGGGTATTTTGTTGCTTTTGGTTGGAATATTCCATATGTACCCATATAATATTGTTTAAAAGGCCATACTACCAAAAGCAATCTACAGATTCAATTCAGTCCTTATCAAAATTTCAGTGGCATTTTTCACAGAAATAAAACAAACAATCCTAAATTTGTATGGAACCACAAGAGGCCCCGAATAGCAAAGCAGTCTTGAGAAAGATGAACAAAGGTAGTGGCAGCACACTTCCTGATTTCAAACCATATTACAAAGCCACAGTAATCAAAACAGTGTGGTACTGGCATAAAAATAGACACATAGATTGATGGAAAAGAACAGAGAGCCCAGAAATAAACCCACTCATATATGGTCAATTAATTTATAAAAAGGAGCCAAGAATATACAATAAGGAAAAAACAGTCTCTTCTATAAATGGTATTGGAAAAACTGGACAGCCACATGCAAAAGAATGGAACTAGACCACTATCTGTTACCATACAAAAATATTAACTCAAAATGGGTTACAGACTTGAATGTAAGGCCTAAAACCATACAATTCCTAGAAGAAAACTGGCAGTAAGATCTTGACATCAGTCTTGGCAATATTTTGGAAATCATTTTGGAAATAAAAAAAAAATAAACAAGTGGGACTATAACATACTAAAAAGCTTCTTCACAGCAAAGGAAAACGCCAACAAAATGAAAAGGCAACCTACAGAATGAGAGAAAATATTTGCAAATCATGTATCTGTTAAGGGGTTAATAACTCAAATATAAAAAGAACTCATATACCCCAAAGGCAAAAAAAAAATCTGATTAAAAAATGGGCAGGGGGGCTTCCCTGGTGGTGCAGTGATTGGGAGTCTGCCTGGCGATGCAGGGGACACGGGTTCGTGCCCCGGTCCGGGGAGATCCCACATGCCGCAGAGCGGCTGGGCCCGTGAGCCATGGCCGCTGGGCCTGTGCGTCCGGAGCCTGTGCTTCACAACGGGAGAGGCCACAACAGTGAGAGGCCTGCATACCGCAAAAAAAAGGGCAAAGGATCTGAATAGACATTTTTCCAAACAAGACATACAGATGGACAACAGGTACATAAAAAGATGCTCAACATCACTAATAATCACGGAAATTCAAATCTAAACCACAATGAGATATCACTTCACACCTGTCAGAATGGCTATTATCAAAAAGACAAGAAATAACAAGTGTTGGCGAGAAGGTAGGGAAAAAAGGAAAGTTTATGCACTGTTAGTGGGAATGTAAATCAGTGCAGCCACTATGGAAAACTTTATAGAGGTTAATCAAAAAATTTAAAAAGGAACTACCATTTGATCCAGCAATTCTACTTCTGGGTATTATTCCGAAGAAAACAAAAACACTAACTTGAAAAGATATATGCATCCCCATGTTCACTGCAGCATTATTTGCAATAGAAAAGAAATGGAAACAACCCAAGTGTCCACTGATGGATGAATAAAGAAAATGTAATATATACGTACGTACACACACACACACACACACACACACACACACACACACAATGGAATATTATTCAGCCTTTAAAAAAGAAGGAAATCTTGCCATTTGTGACAACATGGATGGATCGTGACGGCATTTTGCTAAGGGAAATAAGTCAGACAGAAAAAGGCAAATTCCATATAATCTCACTTATATGTAAAATCTTGAATGAATGAATGAATAAATAAAATACCTAGCTCATGGATACAGAGAACAGATTGGTGGTTGTCAAAGGCAAGGGGTAGGGGGTGGGCAAAATGGGTAAAGGGGGTCAAAAGGTACAAACTTTGAGTTATAAAATAAATAAGTCATCAGGATGTAATGTACATCATGGTAACTATGGTTAATAATTCTGTATTGCATATTTGAAAGTTGCTAAGAAAGTAAATCTTAAAAGTTCTCATCACAAGAAAAAATATTTTGTGACTATGTATGGTGACGCATGTTAACTAGACTTATTGTGGTGATCATTTTGCAATGTATACAAATATCAAATCATTATGTTGTACACTTGAAACTAACATAATATGTCAATTATATCTCAATTTTCAAAAAATTAAAAATTTTTGTGCATCAAAGGACATTATCAAGAAAGTGAAAACAAAACCCTGCTGAATGGGAGAAAATACTTGGAAATCATATCTGATTAAGGAACTGACATGTAGAATATACTAAAAACTCCTATAACTCAATAATAAAAAGAAAACACAATTACAAATAAACAAAGAATCTGAATAGACATTTTCCCAAAAAATATATACAAATGGCCAATAAGCACATGAAAAGACACTCAACATCTTTAGTCATCAGGGAAATGCATATCAAAACCACAATAAGGAACCACCATATACTGACTAGAATGACTAGTATCAAAAAGAAGGGCAATAACAAGTGTCGGTAAGGATGTGGAGAAATTGGAATCCTCATATCGCTGGGGGGAAGTAAAAAAGTACAGTCACTTTTGAAAACAACTTGGCAGTTCCTCAAAAGGTTATAAACACAGAAGTATCACCTAACCCAGAAACTCTTAACTTCTAGCTACATACCCAAGAGAATTGAAAACACATATGCACACAAAAACTTGTACATCAATGTTCACAGCAGCATTATTTGTAACAGCCAAATAAGTAGGAATAATCCAAATGTCCATCAATTGATGAATGGGTAAATAAGAATATATATCCATACAATGGAGTATTACTTATTAATAAAAAAGAATTAAGCACTGATAAATGTTACAACATGCTTGAAAAAAATACGCTAAGTGAAAGAAGGCAGTCATAGAAGACTACATATTTTATGATTCTGTTTATATGAAATGTCCAAAATAGGTAAATCTATAGAAAGAGAAAGCAAGGGTTGGGGGAATGTTTGGGGGAGAAATGGAGATTGACTCCTAATGGGTATGAGGTTTCTTTCTGAGATGATAAAAATGTTCAAAATTTGATATGTTTGCAAAACTCTGTTATATATAATACTAAAATACTAATACTATAATACTAAAAGCTGCTAAACTGTACACTTCAAATGGATGAACAGTATGTGAATCTTAATAAAGATATTTTTAAAAAGCCAAATGGAAATATATTAGAAATAAGAAAGACATGGAGTGAAAGATACAAGAAATCCACTT